AAAGAAGAAAAAAAAAAAAAAAAAAAAGAAAGAGAAAGGGGGGGACCAAGTTATCGCGCAGACTGAGCTGGTCACTCATTTTGCTTATGTACAATTTTCCATATGAGTTGATTTTTAAATACAGGAGTAAGTATACAAACTGGAGAAGAGGTTGCTGTGAAGCTGGTAAGTACTAACAAATCGACACGAAAAAAAAGAAGAAGATGAAAAAAAAAGATGGTGCTGGATGTAAATTGTTTTCTGCATTAGTGATATTTTGTAATGTATTGAAACAATAAAGGAAAAAAAACTCCATTTTTTAGGAACCGAAAAAAGATGGTTCTTTATGCTAATAGTTTTCTGCATTAGTGATATTTTGTAATGTATTGAAGCGATTAAAAAGAAAAAAATCCATTTTTTAGGAACCGGTCAAGACTAAGCACCCTCAGCTATATTACGAGTCGAAGCTGTACATGCTTCTCCAAGGAGGAAGTGAGTGTATTTTTTTCCGTTGTGTTCGATATTTAGTTTGTGAAATTATATATATTTTATTAATATTTATTTCGTTTAATGAAAGACGGTGTGCCCCACCTTAAGTGGTTTGGAGTGGAAGGCGAGTACAATTGCATGGTTATCGATCTTTTGGGACCGAGCTTGGAAGATTTATTTAACTATTGCAATAGGAAGTTAACTTTGAAAACGGTCCTAATGCTAGCCGATCAATTGGTTAGTATGTGTATTCCTCGATATTTTCAAGATTCGTTTTTTACGTGGTTTTTTACTAAGTGTTGTAATATTAAAATGTAGATTAATAGAGTGGAATACATGCATTCAAGAGGTTTTCTCCACCGTGATATAAAGCCGGACAACTTCTTAATGGGATTGGGAAAAAAAGCGAACCAGGTGTGTGTTTTGTTTTTTTTTCTTTTTTCTCGTCTCGGTCGTAGTTTTTTGTATTTTCGGTTTTTTTAGTGTTGTTTGACTTCAGTTCTCTGAGAAACTACGGCTCGTTTCTGTGGAATCGTTAGACATAATATTTTGTCGATACCCTTAGTAAATTAATGTATATCGATAATGTAATGAATTTCTTTAACAATTAGTTTTTTGATTTTTGACTGGTTGATATATTATACATACGTGATTCCGATCTTGTTTTAGTTTTATCATATAATATATAATATACGATTTATTTTGTTAATTTACAAGCCGTAAATTAACCTTGTGTATTAAATCTCTAACAGGTTTATATCATCGACTATGGACTTGCAAAGAAATACCGAGATCTTCAAACGCACAAGCATATACCATACAGGTTTCGATTCTGCTTCGTTGCACTCGTCTTATTTGTTTTTCACTTCCTTTGACTTAGTACTGTCATTTACGTCGGAAAATCGTATTTCTTTATTTTATCGAAAAGTCTTTCAGCTGCTAAGGAAGCTGAATTGTTGAACCGTATAAGAAACGTATTTTATTTTATGTTTTGTTCGTCGTTTCGTGTTTTATTTTACAGGGAAAATAAAAATCTAACGGGGACAGCTCGTTATGCTAGTGTGAACACCCATCTCGGAGTTGGTGAGTGGAAATTATGCTTTTCTTGATTTATTATTTTCTCTTTTTGAAGAAATTTAAAAAACATAATTCTTTTTTCGACTAACACCAATTTTTTTATTTTTTTATTTCTTGATTCAGAGCAAAGCAGACGGGACGATTTAGAATCGCTTGGCTATGTTCTTATGTACTTCCTCAGAGGAAGGTTGACTACAAAGATTACTTATTTACTAATTTATTTATAATCTGCTAATTATTTATTAATTTTTAATTTATCGTAGCCTTCCGTGGCAAGGACTAAAAGCCGGCACAAAGAAGCAGAAATACGACAGAATCAGTGAGAAAAAGATGCTTACACCCATAGAAGTACTATTACTATACTACAGCTAAAACTATGCTATATTTATTTTTAAGGGCAAATTACGGCAACCCCCCCGAAGTATGGCCAAATTACGAAAAAACCCCTCTTGTTTGGGTAATTACAGTCACCCCCTCCTTTTAAATATTTTTACGTAAAATTTATGTAATTCCGTTATTTACCGAACCAAATCGTATATTCAGTTTGGCAAACGTTATGAAATGTTGGCATACCGAAAATTTCGGTTCGGTTTTACCGATTTAACATCTCTAAATTTACCCCATGAGGGGTATTTTCGTAATATAATACATAGTTGAGGGGTGGCTGTAATTACCCAAACAGGAGGGAGGTTTTCGTAATTTGACCATAACTCAAGGGGGTGGCCGTAATTTGCCCAATGCCCTTATTTTAATAGTCGATTAACTGACAAATTGTATTTATTTCTTGACAGGTGCTTTGTAAATCATATCCATCTGAATTTATATCTTATTTTCATTATTGCCGGTCGTTGCGATTTGACGACAAGCCTGATTATTCGTACTTGAAGAGACTTTTCCGAGACCTGTTTATCCGGGAAGGTAAATAATCATTTTTTTTCTTCGTATCGTACTTTATTTTTTGTGCATTTTCATGTCAATTTTTTTTTAATATTGGAAATCAATTTCGATTTTTTCGTAACATTTTTTTAAACGAGCAGCTTATCAGTTCGATTTCATTTTTGACTGGACTGTATTGAAGTATCCTCAAGTTGGCTCCAGTTCTAGAGCACGAGTTAGTATTTATTTATTATATATTATATATTTATTTTTGGTGTGTGGATAAGACATATTAAATCAATTTTAGTAATTAAATTTATATGATTGTTTTTTTCGGCAGCCAACTGGTAAAATACCGCTAAATCCCGGACCATCGGCAGAACGAGTAGAAAAAACTACAGGTCTGCTTGCCCTCGTGAATATCTGATCTATTTTTTTTTATTAATTTTTGTTTTTACATCTAAGTTGAGTACAACTAAAATAACTTGCCTTCAATTATTATGCATGGTGTTTTTATTTTTTATGGCGCGAGGGGTCTATGTGTAATTATACGTAACCTCAGGGGAGGATAATGTAATTTACGCAATATCTGATAAATTGGTTCGCCAAATAATTGTTTCGTTTAGGTAGTAGGCAAGATGTACGAGACAGATTCTCCGGTGCGGTGGAGGCATTCGCAAGAAGAAACGGTTCTAGTACTGCGTTGCATGGTGATCACTCGAGGCACCGATCCACAGACGATTCTCCCTCGTCTAAAGACGTGGTGTGCAAATAAATAATTATTTATAATTTTTTTTTTAAATTTATTTTGGTTAATAAAAATAATACAATTTTTTTTATACAATACGATAATCCAGCAAAAATCGTCTCGGACCGGTAGCACGTCAAAGAGGGTGGTGCCGCCGTCGAGCAGCCGGCCAAGCTCCTCCGGCGAGCCGAGTGAGAATCGCCGCCATCATCATCATAATCCTAAGGTGGGCCCGGAAAGTGGTCGTGTAGCGACGACCACTCAGAGACTGCCACCTGGATACGAGTCCAGGTCATCGTCGTCGTTGACTCGTGCTGGTGCTGCAAGAGGGGTACGTGACGAGACCCTTAGAAGCTTTGAGCTTTTGACAATCGGCTCTGGGAAAAGAAAATGAAAAAAAAAAAGAAAAAAAAAAAGCAAAAGCTGTGTCGGGGGTATAATAGTAATTGCAAATAACGGTATGTTTTTTGTTGCCCAGCCTTACCCTGTCTGGGGTATAAATGTAATTTTGCACTAGTATTGCTACGTTTTGGTGCTCAATATATGGTTAGTTCCTTGAACGACTGCGTTTCGATTATTTTTGTCTTGAAGGATGTTGTCGTGTAAAGATACACTTATGATGCGTTACGTGTACGCGGGTTTTTCTATTTTGTGGCAAAAAAATAGTTATGTATCTGCACACAGTCACACACATACAGTGTGTAAGGTCCAGGTCCCCGAATTGAGTGGTCGTGATTTGTTCGAACGTTCACACGCACATGTATATATATATACATGTGTGATGTATATCTCGTGTATATATATACTAGTGAATGATGGGGATTAGTTCAGCACCGAGTTCAACACCATCGGGCCGAACTCTCCATATTTGAAATTATTGGGCCAAAGCCCAATGAACGATAGAAATTAAGCCCATCAAGCCAAGGCCCAATGAATGGTAGCGCACCAACGTAACTAGGGGTGTAAACGAGCCGAGCCGACTCGTGAGCTCGAAGAGCCGGCTCGTAAAAAGCTCGAACTCGAACTCGAGCTCGCGAGCTCGAGCTTTCTGATGAGCCGAGCTCGAGCCGGTTTTCAGTTGTTCATGAGCTCGCGAGCCGGATTTATTATTATTTTTTTATTATTTTTTTTATTTTTTATATGTTATTTTTATTTAAATAATGTATAATAATGTAAAATATTATAGAAATAAATACAAATATTAAAAATATATATAATTACAATTTAGTTTTTATTTTTTATTTTTTTAAATAATTTTTAATAATAAAATAATAATTAAAATAAAAAAAAAAAAAAAAAAAAAAAAAAAGACAATGGGCTCGAGCTCGAGCTCGAGCTCGAGCTCGACACAACTGACACGAGCTCGAGCTCGAGCCAAAAAAAGAGGAGCTCGCGAGCTCGACAAAATAAACTCGAGCTCGAGCTCGAGCCAGCCAAAAGAGGCGAGCTCGGCTCGAGCTCGGCTCGTTTACACCCCTAAACGTAACTGATGCTAAGAGAAAACTTAGCGGTAAGAAGATGGTCGAGCAGATAGTTCGTGCATATAAAACTCCGTCAACATACAACATGTCGCGAAAGAGGAAGAAAAATGAGTGGTAGGTGGCAAGTTCGGAGACAACCGTTAGAGAAGAAGAATTCAGTATAACTTCAGATAAAGAAAATATGTAAATTCAGATCCATGACTAATCAATCATAGTAAATCTCGGACGAGTAAAGTGATCTTAAATTATGAAATATCCATATACAATGTAAACGAATTTGTAAAACCCTATTAGGGTTACGATTTAACATTAGTAATATACTCATTTTTCGAATTCTCCCTTTCTTTTGTTTTTATCTTTTTTTCAGGTCGATTAGTTTGTCTTTTACTGGCCAAAAAACCGGTGCCGGATGTACTCTCCAACGAATGAAGGAGTTGGATTTGGAAAGAGGTCTTGAGAGTGCAAATCTTGCTCCATCAGTGAGTATCTCCTATATTTTTCCACTGCGCACTCTGAACCTGGGGTAGTTGACGGCGGCTAAAGTTTTGGTAGTAGGAGTCCTTGGCGGTTTGGTCTAAAATTTTATAGCATTCGCAACTATGGCCTCTCTGTCTGTTTCCTAATTTTTGTTGATTTTCGGTGTTTTGAAGCATAGTCATTTTTTGTTAACTTGCACTAATTTTAATTTGAAAAATACACATTGCATTCGATGTAGTCTTGTCTCCCCAAATAACATAACTAGTTTTTTTGTGTGGTTTTGCAATTGCAATTTAATGGAAGTCATTGTTCTTTTCTTGAATGTGTCAAAAACTGGTTGAAACAATAGACAAATTTGTCGAATTTGACATATGTTTCAAGTCATAGTCGAATACATACTATACATTACTACACATTACTATAGTTATATGTATTAACATATGCATGTGATTGTATTTTTAGATTTGTATTTGTTGATCACGAGTTGATTTATAATATAAATATTAAAATTGTTAATTTCGTTGTTGGTTTGGTGAAGTTTTTTTATCATTGATATTTGTATGTGTACATAATTGGTCTACTATGACTTTGGGATAAAAAGAAAGAACATAACTACAAATGACTATATTAAATTGTAGTCGTTTTTAGTATAGTAAACATATCGGTAAAAAATATATATATTAAATATAACAAAATAAACAAACATATTTAATTATTAGAAAAAAAAAAAGGTAAATGCAGGTCCATAATACTAAATAAGTACAATTTATGGAAATAGTGAATATAGCTTATAGGTAAACAAAAATTGCATATGAGAGCAGTATAGTTAATTTGCCTCTTAATGGGGTATCCATAAAGTTGAATTAGAATTTAAGTTTTTCTCTAGTTTAGTGTTGCTGCAGAATATATAACAAATGAGCCCTATTTATTAGGGGTGTGCGCGGGCCATAAACCCGCGGGTTCTATCAAAACCCGACCTCGTCCCGTCAAACAACGGTTCTTGATTTTGAAGAACCGAACTTGTGGGTTTTTAACGGGTTTATGATAGGCGGGTCCATGGCGGGTTTATAGTAGGACCCAACCTTTACGGGTCGAAACCCGTTATCGTCTAAACTATTTTTTTTATATATAATTTATAAGTTTTACGGGAGAATAATTAGAAACTAAAATGAATAACCTAAAATTTTAAATTGAAACCAAACATAAATAATGTAAATGTCAAGAGTAAATAAAAATTAATATAAAACTAAAAATAACTAATTCATAACTTAAAAGACAAAATTTAAATAAAATAAATATAGTTTTTTCAAGCATAACCAACGCTATTCAGCTCCATTCAACACCATTTTCTTCCTTTTTTTTTCTGCCGTATGTTGACCGTTGTATATATATGTTTTTTTTCCTACATTTTCTTAGAGATTTTCATAATCTTTATAGCTATTACTTCCACAATTATAGTTTAGTTGATTTATGTATTTGATATACTAGAGATACTTTATTTATTCATTAATATTATTAATTTATTATACTATATAATGTAAACAAAACGACGTCGTTTTGTATGGCGGGGCAGGACGGGTTTCACGGGTATTAAAAAAAATTGAACCCGTCTAAGACCCAAACCCACGGTTCTTCACCATTTTAGGACCTAATCCTATGGATGGATCTATCCGTCCGGTCCCAACGGGGCGGTTTTTCACGGGTTTGACGGGTGTAGCGGGTTGATGGGTCCGACTTGCTCACCCCGGCTATGTATTAGATTCGTAACTTTATTTAATATCCCTAATTAATAACCCCTAATCAATAGTCCGTAAAAATTCTCTAATTATTAGTCCATAATTAATAACGCCCAATCAATAGTTAATATGCTCTTAAGTCTTATCCATAATTAATACCCGCTTTAAATTTCTAATTAATTTTTTTTGAGTAAATTTTTTTATTAATTTCTCATTAATAACCCCTCAATTTATTTTTGAGAACTTTCATATTAAATGTTTTTTTACAAGTTTAATAAAAAATAAAATTATTTTGTCCAACTGTATCTAACAATGTTTTGAAAACCGGACCGGACATCGAACCGGAAGGACAACTGGGTCACGGTTCAACCGGTTGAACCATGGTTGAACCGGGTTTTTGATTTATTTTTATTTTTAATTATTAAAAAATACTTAAATAGTTATAAAATAACTATGTTGAAAATATATACATATTTTAATTATTTTTTTTAACATTTTCATTATAAAACTAAATATAAATATCAAATAACTAAACATAACTAACATAAAAATAAAATTATATCACTAAAACCTAACATATCACTTTAATTCATAATGTTTTGCTAAAATAAATAATAAAACAACAATTAATTAGTTCATCACTCTTCTGTACTGGTATAATATTATTTTTTGGGTTTTTTGCAAAAACCACCCCTGTGTAATCTCGAATTGCTGAAAAAGACCTTGTGTTAAAACAATTAGCAAATACCCCCCTACGAAAAATAATCAAAGGCAATAAGGTCCCTGAGGGCTGGCCGTGTGCTTCACTTGCCATGAATGCGAGTGGGGGTTCGTTTTTTTGACACAAAAATACCAAAATGCCCCCATAAATTTTATAAGCACCAAAATGAAGTTTTTAAAATTTTCAATTGAGTCCTTTATATATTCAAATAAGCCCTCTTCTCCAACCTCAAGAACAACCCTCCACTTTTTCACCATGATTTTTTTCCAGCAAAACCCATCAACCAAACCCAATCTGAGCATGATGTTCATTCATATTCCAAATCCAAGAAAAAAAGGGAAGAAAAATGGCGTCTCAAGCGTTTTCGGCACATCCCTGCCAAAACCCATGAAAAATACAAACATTCTTCAAAGCATTTTCTTCCAATTTCCATAGCATTTTTTTTCTAATTTGTGAATCTTGAGTCGTATACCGAGGAAGAAGAAGAAGAAGAATGTCAAACTCGAAGAATATTCGCCGTCACTCCACAGCTACTCCACCCAAACTCGAAGCCGACTCTCCGGATCCACCACACTGCCGCCGCTGCCGTTGAATGCCACCACCACTATTATAGTTTCTGAATCCACAATTTCCGTCCACCGAAAACTGTTTTGCTGCACTTTTTTCTTTCTATCCGAAAGAAACCAAAAAAATCTCCGCACACCTTTGTCGGAGAGAAGATGCAGGTTTGCTTATTTGTGTGATATGTTTTTCTTCTTTTTATTGTTTAAAATTGAAATATCACTAAAAACTATTAGGAAGTCAACCATCAATTTCGAATTAAGGAGCGGTGTGCTTCGTAAAACAAAACATAGGGGGTCCTTGCTAATATTTTTAACACGAGGAGTTTTTTGACAATTCGAAATTACACAGGGGGTTTTATGCTTCTTTAGGCAACAAAAACCAAGATAAGAAAAGGTAAAAATATAGATTCATCCTCTGCAAAATCAAAGAGCCGCCTCCCCTCCCCTTCTTCGTCTGCTTTATCTTCCTCCGGCAAACAACGTAACTCAGTCCGCACCCCCCAAATCCGTGCCTTTCACTCCGCCGATCAGATCTGGGTTTGAGATGTTTCTCAAAACCCATATGAAATATAGATTTTTTATTCCATTACTTCAAGTGAATATTCAAGTTTTGCTCATAATTCTCGAATTTGTAAGTTTTCATCCTTGAATCAGTAAATCCTTTTCTATTTTGCAAAAAAAATGCATTTTTTTCTTCTGAAAACCGGGTTTGTGAGCGGTTTCCGGTTTCCTGGTTCGACCAAGCGGTTTTCCGGGTTTTGGCCTTTCACCCGGGTTTTTGGCTCTTTCGGGTTTCTGCACCAAACCGGACCGGATCAAGCTCCGGTTCCCGGTTAAACCGGTCCGACCGGCCGGTCCGGTCCGGTTTTCAAAACATTGGTATCTAACATTACTTATAATTTCTTACTTTTTTAGTTTAATACTTAAGCGTTTCAATTTAATATAAATTTTATTATTATGTATATAATTTTTTGGGTTAATGGCACTTTGCCTTTTTTCCCCCAAACTATCGTGCGTTTTGCACGTTACCTACTGAACAATTTTGTTTTACAAACTTTTACCTCAACTTGTCAAATGGTTGCACGGTGCCTTAAATTTGCCATTTCTGTTCATTTCTCCCCATAAATGTTTGCACTATAATCGTCCATTCACTTAAATGTGCCCTACCCCTGGACTTCTAAATTTTTCTCCTTTTTTTTTATTCTTTTTCCCCTCATAGTTGGCCAGCAAAATACTCCTCATGAACATTGAAAAACACTATGGGAAATCCCTAGAAAATTGCACCAATTCTTCATCCACAGACACAAAAACAGTCCACTTCATACTCGAGTTGTCTCGAGACTTGAACATGTCAGACACATCTGCGAAAGGAGAAGCCGTCTCCAAATCAGGCATTTTAAAATTGGATTTAGGGTTTGTACTAGGTCGAATTAGTGAGTGCGATGGTGAATTTCAATTTGAAGAAGTCATCCATTGCGTTGACTATAAGAACTTTGAAGTCGAAAGTTGGGAATTTGGAGATTTTGACGTTGTTTATGGACAGTGTTTCGGTTTGGGCGCAGGTGACAATGAGGCGTTTGTTGGCCAAAAAGAAATGAGGAAAAAAAGGCAAAATTAAAAAGAAGGAAAAATAGAAGTAGAGGGGGTATGGTATAGAAGTAGAGGGGGATATGGTTACACTTGAAGTGAATGGACCTTACAAGTTACTACCCTAAGAAAACTCACATGCGATGCATGTGCCGATGATTCCGACAAGAAATGAACGGAAATAGCGAATTTGAGGCATCGCGCAATAGATTAGCAAGTTCAGGTAAAAGTTTGTC